GTGGTTGAAAAACAACCAGGAATTTCTGTATTCTGTTGAACACAAAACGAGATATTTCTGAAGAATGCTGGAAATTGTCAGCCCTGAAGCCCCAGCTTGCCTTCTTTGGCCTAAGGCACAGGTGTCAAACTCAGTTCCAAAAGGGCCGCAGCTCTGCACAGTTTAGTTCCAACCCTAATTAAAAACACCTGATCAAACTAATTGAGTCCTTCCGGCTTGTTTGAAACCTACAGGTAGGTGTATCGGAGCAGGGTTGGAACTAAACTGTGCAGGGCTTCAGCCCTCCAGGAATTGAGTTTGACACCCCTGGCCTAAGGTATTCAGCGGGCCGAAAAAGGCAAGCCGCTGGCCCCGAGAAAGCCCTGTTTTCAGCCGATTAGGCCCCGGAAGTGACAGTAGAAACTGACTGGCCTTGGCTCTCTCGCTTTAGGCGCGATAGTGGAAACATGGCTATTGACATCTATAAGGGAATATCTGTAACCAAAAAATACTATGGAAGTCGATGCTGCTTTTCAACATCCTTCAAAATATCTTCTATTGTGTTCAACAGAAAGTAAATAATGACATAATTGTCAATTTTGGGTGAACAGTGCCTTTGATTGATCTACACACTTAACACACATGGAAAAATACTATACTCATTTATAGTAAAAGGCTACTATAGTGTTTTTGAACCATACTATTGTATCCCTGCTGAAAAATCCAGCTTAAACCAGCCTAGGCAGGTTGGCTGGTTTTAGCTGGTCGACCAGGCTGGTTTTAGAGGGTTTTGGCCACTTCCAGGCTGGTTTCCAGCCATTTCCAGCCTGGTCTTAGCTGGTCAGGCTGGGAGATGACCAGCTAAAACCAGCTTGACCAGCCTAGCCAAGCTGGGAGTCCAGCCAAAACCAGCTTTATCCAGCTTAAACCAGGCTGGTCAAGCTGGTTTTAGCTGGATTTGGCTGGTAATTTTCCAGCCTGACCAGCTAAGACCAAGCTGGAAATGGCTGGAAACCAGCCTGGAAATGGCCAAAACCCCTCTAAAACCAGCCTGGTCAACCAGCTAAAACCAGCCAACCAGCCTAGGCTGGTTTAAGCTGGATTTTTCAGCAGGGATGGTAATTATTCTATATTATTTGGAGTGCTACAGGAAACTATAATGAACTGATAAACTGTAATACATGCTATAAACTTTAGTTTTACCACAATAAACTGTGGTGAATTGTAGTATAGCTAATTATTAAATACAGTAGAGCTCAGGAACGTATCGTAATCAACACATTATGGGTGTTTAGTTCAGGTATAGCCTGATTTCCATTGATCTCCATTGATTTTTTGTATTATACACTCATCAGCAATAAACTGTAGTGCTTATACTACAGGTAATGGAGAAATCCACATATAGAGATGTTTTCTTGTGGCAGCGCGTTGATGCCCTGTCAGTTACAGATAAACTCGTTCATTTATTTGATCCGCCTCCTTTGCGTCTGTGCTCCGCTTCTCCAGTCACACCTCACCGCTGGAGACAGAATGTTGTCAGCTTCTCAGACACACATAAAGCGTTTATAAAGGTTTATACACGTTAGTCTATTTTATTCTGAGTGTCTGTAATGTGTTTTTCAACAGATATTACTTATAAAACGGTCGTTTTTTTCTGTTGTAATTTCCACTGCTCCTGCGTTTGTTCACTAACATGGCCGACCGCAACTTGCCGTGACGAAGATTCCCGAGCTCTGTAATTGTTGTATTACCACAAAAGATTAATTCAAGTAGGCTACTTTACTACAGTATGTTTCAAAAACACTATAGTAAGTTAGTCTATTTACTAGAATTTTTATTTTTTTATTTTTTGGTGAGTAAATTGAGGCTCAATTTGAATATTAGAGGTGTTTTTGTCAATGAGTGGACGAATTGAAGCACGTGATCTGTTTACGTAAACTCCAGTGCTGCTTCCGACTGATATCAGGACTTTTCGTTTTTTAAAGGTAAGAATAACACTGTTTCCTCTTTACTCTAATTGACACGTTTTCGTTTTCACCGTTTTAAAATTGTAATATTACTACATTTCGTTGTGTAAGTTATATATATATATATATATATATATATATATATATATATATATATATATATATATATATATATATATATATATATATATATATATATGGGAAACGCTAATATGAAACTGTCAGCAACGTATAATGTGTTTTTTGCTGCACGTTATACTCCAAAAGTGACACGACCAAAACTTGGCCCATATACGCAAAACATTTAGCTTCCAGCAGCTCATAGGTTGTCAATTTACAGAAAATATATATGGTAAAAAAAAATAATGGTTGGATCAGTCCTAAATTGTTGCTCTAAAGTGTTTTAGGAAAGCGTTTTGCGCTAAAACTAACTGTAAGCTACTAAAATGGCTGTTTCCAGCAATCTGCCTCAAAAAGAAAACATTTTTAAAACAGCTTTTAAATTTGCTTTAATCACAGATGTATTCACATTTGGTAGGAAATGCAGTTTTAAAATATTTTCACATGTATTGTATAATGTGTTTTTGCATGTAATTTTTCATTCATTGTGCAGCTGACAAAAAAAATATCTTATGCAAATAAGTGTTTTATAAATAGAAATGTGCCCATTTGTAGGCTATTTATTTTTCAAGACATTGTTTTAACATGATTTACAATGTAATTGCTTTATTATTTTCTAAAAAAAATAAATAAATACATGTAACACTGGAAGTATTTATATTTATTGAAAATAGATAATTAAAGTATTCGAAATTATTTAATTGAGCGTGAATAACCAATGGGATCCTTTTCATTTTGGGCTAAATATCATATTTAATGTCTGTCTATAATAATAAAAGCAAGGAACATACTATTTAGAATGCAACTCTTCACTTAGCCTGTATATTTAATTCGTTATTTTTGTTGACTACAAGTTGCATTGCAACTACATGCCAGTTATCTTAATTTGACTATTAGTAGACTAGAGTGTCTGCTGAATATCTGTTGACTCTGCTCCTTCAACAGACATTTAACTGACTATAAAAAACTGTGCAAGTACATGTCAACTTGCACTAACCCCAACCTAACAGTCTACTTATAATCTAATGAGAATTAGTTGGCATGTAGATGCAATATAGCTTACATTCAAGAAAATGCATTAAAACCATGAAAATAAAGTCATAGCAAAACTTTTATTGCCATTTAGGAGAACTCTATAATGGTAGGATAAAATAGTTTGTGAATGGAGGCCCTGACCTGAGCAGCACATTACAATCCATTAGTCTGAAACAACCCAGGGTTAAAAGCAGTATTGTCCTCAAAATGAAAACAATCACATCATTTACTCACCCTCGAACCTTAAGTATGTAGAAGTTATATTAAGTAATATGCTAGCTTTATATGAATAAATGCATGGTGCACTAGTTTTTGAAGCCCCAGAAAACAGATGTTCATCATAAAATTAATCCACACAACTCCAATGAATCCTAAAAGCTATTATTGAAAACAAAACAATTTGTAAAAGTTTTAAAAATTAAAACTATTAGATGGCAAACATGGAAATGCAGATCGAGCAAAACAAAACACTAACATGTAACTCAATTCAATTCAATTCAGCTTTATTTGTATAGCGCTTTTACAATGTAGATTGTGTCAAAGCAGCTTCACATAAATGGTCATAGTAACTGGAACAGTGTGGTTCAGGTTTTAGTGTTTAAGTTCAGTTCAGTTCAGTTTAGCTCAGTTCAGTGTGATTTAATCATTACTGAGAGTTCAAACACTGAAGAGCCAATTCATCGATGCGTAGCTCTACCAATCCTGAACCACGCGAGGCAGTGGCGACAGCGGAGAGGGAACATGTACTGTGGCTTAACAGTCAGGGGTAATTTATAAATATGTTAATATTATTATTGTTTATATAATAATAATGATAAGTGGTCAGCATAAATGAGCACAGCCCCTGTTGAAAATTAATATTTTAATGAATTTCTCAGTGAATAGAGCCTGTAACATTTGGTGCATTTAAACAAAAGTATTTTATTAAACGGTTATATCCATTAAAATAAGAGTTTGGTCATGAGACATCTTTAGGAATAAAAAGATAATACATTTAAATTCAGTTAAACCGGTTGCTTCTAAGGCATTCATATACCCACTGAATTACATTTATGATTTACGGATGCCATTTTTAATGCTTTAAACATTTAGGAAAACATTCACTGGCATGAAATGCTATTTAATGTAACTTCAGTTGTGTTTTTTTGGAAAAAAAACATAAAGGAATTTACTTTACTCACATGGCTTGCGGGTAGGGCTGCACAATATACCGTTTTAGCATCAATATCATATTGCGCGTCTGCAGTTAGTCACATCACAGGATATGCAATGTTAAGTTGGGGTTATAGTTGATCAACAATTGAAAATACCTGAGATTTGTGGAGTAATCGCAAAGTATAACCATGACAGAGTGAAACTTTATCATTTGCATGAATTTTGAAGCATTCAGGCACAATAACATACAACCTATAATAAAGAATACATTTACTTAAATATGAGTTGAATGGTTATACACTGAATACCGAGTTTGACTCTACGGAAAACCACAAGTACTGTATATTTTACATGATTCTTTGCTGTATAGTAATTATTCTTGCTTGCAGTTTGATTATTATTTTTTTATACACAATGCACACCCTTACAAAATCACCCCAATCAATCTAAATTAATGATCCCCCTCCTAAGCTATCTGGTGAAATTGGTATTCATATTGCAGGAAAACAAAATATCACAACGTCAGATTTTTCCAATATCGTGCAGCACTACTTGAGTGTGTATGAATAATAGGATTGTTTCATTTTGGGGTAAATGCATGTAAAAAGCCCTTTATATGGGACTCCATTCCTTCTAGAGAGCCACAAACTCGAATATGTATTAAGTGTAGAATTGAATCCCAGATGAAGCAAACCACCACAGGGACCTAAAGAAGCTACACAAAGGACTCAAAGCACTCACAAAGCAAATCATGTTTGTTTTAATTAAAACAGGCATCTGCAATGCCACACAATGGTAAGAATCTACACACACCAACACAACAAACTGATGCAGGTACAGATGTGATGCATGCCAGAGAACTCCCTTCTGTTGATAGCACCAAGAAAAAGGTCTTAAATTCGTTCCCTGAAATGTTTTTCGTTTCTTCTCCTCTCAACTGAAGTGCTGATTACAGACAAACAGCTCAGTGGGAGAGAGCTACTGTCATTCACACACAACTGTACCCCAAAATAGAAAACACATATTACATTGTTTGTTTTAGCAAGACAAAACCATTTCAAGAGGTACAAATTAAAAGGAATATCATATACCGGTCTGAACGTAAACAAACTCTTAGTTTACCTTGATCTTAGAAAATAACTTTAGCAACATAGATGTTAAAAAACGAAATGTAAAGGACATAAATACTGATAAATTAATGTAAACATTTACCATTTTAGTGGCGCAGGGATAATATGTATCTTAGTGTAAAGGTTATTGCACACTGTCTCCAAACTTTCGTCCGTCATTACAAACAAAATTGGATCATGTAAAAAAAATGTTCAGTTTTTCACATCTGAATAAAGAGTTTGAGAGGTGTTTTGACAGTTCAGAGCCACCGTACAATCGAAAGCCAAAATGTGGTCACTTGCATTACAGAGTATATTATGGCTAACAAAGATTGTGCGTATGTATGTGTGTGTATCTTGTGTTAAGTTGTGTACCAAATGTCCCCAATAAATACCAGTAAATTGTGACCTTGTGGGGACATTTTTCTAGTCTCCATAAGGAAAGTATCTCAGAAATAAGCATTTTGAAATTGTTAAAATGCAGAATGTGTTGGGGGTAGGGGTGTAGAATATACACTATCTGGCAAAACTCTTTTCGCATTTCGAAGTTTAAGGAAAAACAAATAATAACTTGACTTCTGGTTGATCGTTTGGTATCAGAAGTGGCTTATATAAAAGGCAAAGACCACTAGATTACGCTTATTTGACCAGAATAAAATATGATCATGCCTTGCTTTTTAATTTTTTAATTAGGACAGTAACGTTTGACTTTGCTTAGACAAAAGTCTGATCACTGAACAGAAGTAATGTCCAGTATAGAATATAAAGACAGAATGAATATTGTGTCTGACTCCATCATGAGCTTGGAGGACTGCATCCATACATCTCTGACATGACTCAAATCACTGATTAATAAAGTCATCTGGAATGGCAAAGAAAGCGTTCTTGCAGGACTCCCAGAGTTCATCAAGATTCTTTGTGTTCATCTTCAACACCGCCTCCTCCATCTTACCCCAGACATGCTCAATAATGTTCATGTCTGGGGACAGGGCTGGCCAATCCTGGAGCACCTTCTTTGCTTTCAGGAGCTTTGATGTGGAGGCTGAAGTATGAGGAGCGCTATCCTGCTGGAGAATTTGCCCTCTCCTGTGGTTTGTAATGTAATGGGCAGCACTAATGTCTTGATACCTCAGGCTGTTGATGTTGCCATCCACTCTGCAGATCTCTCGCACGCCCCCATACTGAATGTAACCCCAAACCATGATTTCTCCTTCACCAAACTTGACTGATTTTTATGAGAATCTTGGGTCCATGCGGGTTCTAATAGGTCTTCTGCAGTATTGGTGATGATTGGGATGCAGATCAACAGATGATTCATCGGAAAAATCCACCTTCTGCCACTTTTCCAAATGATCAACTAGAAGTCAAGTTATTATTTGTTGCTCTTACAACTGGAATCAACGACAAGACTTTTGTCAGGTATATGGTTTGAACAGTATAAACATCATGTCTGTAGGAAATCCCCATAAAGAAAGCTGTACTTGTGTGATTTCCTCAAATAATCTCTGCATTTCGGGATAATCCAGTGCAGCTGTTTGATAAGGATGTAAACTATCCTTCCTCTCTCCATCCAGTGAACACAGTATTTCCTCTTTCTTTTTTTCTATTTTGAAGAAGAGAGAATAAAACAAAGCATTGCAGCTAAATGTTTCTGATTTAAAACTCAAGGTTTGTGTGTGTGCCAAATTATTCAGATATACATGCATTAAAAATGCATTAAAAGTGTGCAAAGGCCTTAAGGTTATCTGAAAATTTCATCCATAAATTTTGCATTCGACATCATGTAGTGTCAATCGTATTGACACATCGCCGTTCATCATAAAATTTAATTCTTTTTTTTTTTTTTAGTTTTTTGCATTTGAAAAGTCATTTTTAGAGGTGTTTAGACAATTCAGGGCCGCCTTACAAGCAAAAAACTAAATCCAAAATGGCTTTGAAGAAACTAATATAATAGAATAGAAATGTTCTGTGATTTATGATATGCTAGTTTGTCGGCACTGTTTGGTGTGTGCGTGTTTGGATGTGTCCGTCTCCGTCTCTGTACCATAGAAAAAATGCCTCTGTTCAGGATCAATTGGTTCACAGATATCAGTAGTCTTCGTTTTAATATGCAATTCCATTATCACTTGCAAAATATCAAACTGAGACACAGACATAATGAGGTAAACTTTGAATATTTGGGGATTTGAACGCTTACGAAAATTTGGGACTTGAGTGTGCAAAGACCTTTAATAAGCATTAACTGGTCTGCTAATGAGGGTTGACCTGCAGGGTTGTGTTCTACTGTGGGGTCTGGAGAGAGAAACACTCTCTTACTTCCGCTTGCTCTTGGAGTCGGTGGTCTGAAACACACTCGATGCTGACATCAGGTTCTCGATGTACTGCCCCAGAACCTGATTCTCTGATTTCAGCTTCAGATTTTCTTCTTTTACTGCATCCACGCGAGCTGAGAGATCTATCAAAACAACACAAACAGACAGTTATTTATATAAAATGTATATAGTTAATGGGACCCTAGATTACAAAACCAATCGTAAGCATTAATGTTTTTAAATTAAGATTTATACATAATCTGAACCCTGAATAAATAAGCTTTGTAATAAATAAGCCATTGATGTATGGTTTTTAAGACAATATTTGGCAGAGATGCATCTATTTGAAAATCTAGAATCTAAGGGTTTAAAAAAAATCTATATTTTGAGAATATTGCCTTTAAATATGTCAAAATTAAGTGCTTAATGCATACTAGAGATCTGCGCGGGACTAAATTTTGAATCCCGCTCCCGCCCGCACCCACCAGGTATTAGCCCGAACCCGACTGCTCCCGCTTATATTAAGAATTTGTTGTCCCGCTGCCCGACCCGCCCCGTTTTCTGGCCGCCGCGCCCGATCCCGCTAAAGAGCGGGGGAGAACAAAACCGAAAATCACCCAGCTATACAGTCCAAACACACACACACAGCACCAAGCACACACACACAGACAAAGCTCTCTCTCTCTCTCATACACGCGCGCACTAACACACACACACAAGCACCAAGCAGACACACAGGCGTTTGCTGTTATGTCAACTCAAAGGGTTGTAATACCATGTATCAAGTACCAATGTAATACCAAAAGGTTTTATATAAAGGTATATAAATATATAGTCGCGCGCTCGCGCCAGCTCCGGGCGGCAGCGTACATTACTCTCGGGCCGATTCCGGCGCGGATGCGGCAGCGATGGCTTGCTTACGGCCGCCGCATCTGGCCCGATTGATTCAGGCCGGAATCGGGCAGTGAGTCCGGCAGCCAGAGCCGGGCCGAGTGGTAAGTCTCCGGCAGGCGAGAATCTAGCCGGAACTGGCCCGAGTGTATTTTGCTATCTGGGAAAGCTTTCTCTCTCTCTCTCATTCGCATAGCAATATCCTCGATATTGCTGGACAGCCCGCTCCCGTCCCAAATTAAACCCGTTACCGACCGCTCCCGCGATTTATTCGGAAATTTATTCCCGCGCCGCAGAAATCTGGTGCAGACCTCTAATGCATACTAGTAATCAAAAAAAGGAGTTTTAAAGATGCAGTATGCAAGTTTGACACCCAGTGGTTGAACTAGGTATTGCATTCCTGGATCAAAACAAACGCGAGCACAGGTTGCCAGATTGAGGATGAACAAGAAGGAATATTTTGAACTTTAGAACTGTGAAATAATGCAAATGCAATGGCTAAACTGACATTGGGCGGGTTAAAAGAACCAAAACAAAGACAGACGTTCCGGCATGGAAAAGACATTTACAAAGCAGAATATCTGACTTCAACATGGTTTTTCAGATAAACAAGAATGTTCACTTAACATGTTTCTTAAATATCTGCAAACATATTATTAGCCACCTTCGATTTTTTTTTCTTCTTTTTTAAATATTTCCCAAATGATGTTTAACAGAGAAAGGACATTTTCACAGTATGTCTGATAATATTTTTTCTTATGGAGAAAGTCTTATTTGTCTTATTTCGGCAAGAATAAAAGCAGCTTTTAATTTTTTAAACACCATTTTAGGGACAAAATTATTAGCCCATTTAAGCTATATTTTTTCGATAGTCTACAGAACAAACCATCATTATACAATAACTTGCCTAATTCCCCAAACCTGCATGGTTAAACAAATTAACCTTTACGCCTTTAAAGTCACTTTAAGCTGTCTAGAAGTGTCTTGAATAATATCTAGTAAAATATTATTTACAGTCATGATGGTAAAGGTAAAATAAATCCATTATTAGAAATGAGTTATTAAAACTTTTATGTTTAGAAATGTGTTGAAAAAATCTGCTCTCTGTTAAACAGAAATTGGGGAAAAAATAAACAAGCTGTCTAATAATTAAATAGGGCTAATAATTCTGACGTCAACTGTGTATATTTCTCTAAGCTAATTAAATAAAAACATTGTCAAGGTGCTAACATTTAGACTTCAGGATACCACAATTGTTTGAAAACATAAGTAGATATGCTGATTGTTATTGGCTGTTGTCATTTTCCTCACTTGTCTCTCAGCGTTAGTATAAGATTTGGATAAACAACCTACTGTATGCAGCACACAAATGCTTGATAAAATTAAGCTAATTTATTGCACCTCCCACCGATATGATTCATGATATGATATATTGCGCAGCCCTATTAAGCACTATTCTACACTATTTTGTTCTGTAAGTAGTGCATTTACACCAAAAATTCTAAAACAATAAGCACGCTTATAAAATACCCGGATGATGATAAACTGGTAAACATGAAAGTGAAACTTCCTGCATTCAACAGTCACAGCTTTGCTAACATAGTGAAACGGACGCAACTATGGTTTGACTTCCCTATCAAGGCATGAAATAAAATACATAAAGTAGTTTAAGAATGAAAAGCTTCAAATGCAGATGTTATTTTATGGTGGTGAAAACGGTGGTGTTGGTTTCTCACCCTCGAGAGTATTTTGCAACTCGAGGACCTGGTTTATGAGTCTGGTCTTCTCCTCCAACTCCACTTGATTTTCTATGTCACCTGGAAGATAAACTTAAAACTATTATCATTGGATTTTGTTTTTTGATCTAACAAGCAGTTATTGGGAAAAATAAATAACACAACTGGAAAATAGAATATTGTGGTTATATTGTTATAATATATTAATAACAATCATGTTTTTTAAAAATTTGGAAATTATTTGGTACATTTGGTTTTTGAAAGCATAGAAATACTGTAGTTTTTATTGATTAGTTTTTATTTTTAAATTGCAATTTGTATTGTCTGTGTACAACATGCATTTGTACTAAATGCTCATGTTTTGTACTTAAAAAAACTTTTGTGCATTTTATATTTTTGTACATTTAATTCGATATAAACGTTATTTATTATTAAAAGGTTATTGCAATAATAAAGTTTTTTATATAAGCATTTTAAATCAAAGCAAAGTGCAAATGAAAAAAAAAATCAAAGTATGAGTAAAATAATGACACAATATCAGGGCTCAACAATAAGGACAATAAGTAATGATGCTAAAGGAAAACATTTGTCTCTAGCGTCACTGAAAAAAATGATTCAAAGATGATTCCTTGGATTTACTCAATTTCTTTACGTTAAGAGTTTGTAAACAATTTTTTTGGGCTGAATTTAAACAAACAAATTAAGTTAAACATTACTAAACTTAATTTGTTTGTTTAAATTCAACACAAACAAATTGTTTGCAACAGTTCTGCATGCAACAGTTTTTTCAGTGTGGAAGCAGACATTTACGAGGGTACACCACGACTAAAAAAATGTGGTGATGTTTTGTACAGTTTGCCGTTAGTTTGGCAGGTCAGTCATCTTTTGGTTTTGCAAAAAAATACCTGCACATTTTGCTATTTTGTTTGCACTTTACACTTTATTAACACTTTTTAAATATTTAAATTCTAGATTTACAAACATTTTGACATTTTTTTAATTTGTGGCTTAGAAATGGCTATTGACTTCTTTTGGTGGGGCCAGTGACAATATTGGCAGGGCAAGTAAAAATCTAAACCACTGGTCCGATCGGGCCAGTAAAAAAAAATCCTTAGCGTTGAACCCTGAATATTCAGAATCAGAATATCCACGTTCAAATTTAAACAAAATACTTATTCTGAATATATAACACAATACTTTAAAAGTATAAAATAAATATAATGTATTTGTTATACTTTAAATAAATAAAATCCTGTTATATCTTCTAGAGAAATTCTCTACAGTGCATGCTTGTTTACTTTACGTGATATAATAAAAACGAAATGTACTATAAAGATAAAGATGAATCCACCCATGTCGGTCTCACCATCCATGTCGGAGTTCATGGTGAAAGACTCGTCTTGTGTTGTGAAATGCAGGGCTGCGGCTCTAATGGACACTTCAATATGAGCTCAAGGCCTGATGGAAACTGGGAATAACAGTTAGCAGAGAAGCATTTAGTATTAATATCATGTATAACGCAAGGATGCTGCAATGCTAGGCGCTACATATCTGACCTAAACAGCTAACATTTACATGATGTATAGCTGAAATACATTGATTTAATACATAGTGTATTAAAATAACGTTATATAATCTTATAGATGACCTAAGTTAAATAAATCGCAAAAGAGTTCAATATTTAATTGTGTCTTTAAATTGCTGCGGTTAGCAGGAGTTAGCGGACACACAGCTGATGAGGTAAACAAACCAAACATTCGCCGTTTATTATTGTCTCCGCTCAAAACTCTTGCCGTTCGCTTGAATATTTAAACATACTGTAAAGTCTGTGATATATTAATAAATCATGTTAATAACACCCAAACCTTTTAAATGTGAAATTGGACCGGCTGAAGTGATGATGCGCCACCGGAGCGATGCCTTCTGGAGAGTGACGTCATGGATTACGTGTTAACCCTTCAGATCGCGGAAAGAAATTCGGCCAGCGCTGTACTTTCCTTTAAATCAAGCATATCCGAACTCCTGAAGGGCTGGTGTCCTGCAAAGTTAAGTTCTAACCCCAATCAGACACACCTGGGCTATCTAATCAACTTCTTATAAGCTTTCTTACAGGTGTGTTGAGGCAAGTTGGAGCTAAAATCTGCAGGACACTGGTCCTCCAGGACCAAGTTTGGACACCCCTGCTTTAAATACACATTTTAACATTTATATGATAATACTCACTAAATGTTAACATCTTAAACACACTACAATTTTATATTGTAAATGTTTTATTTACAAATAGATTTCTTATTTAACGTTTAAATAAACTTATTGCTAAAATCTCAATGTCTTATTTTAAACTTTAAGACACGTTAAAAAGACTCCTGAAATAATACAGAGATATATTTTTTAAATTAATCCTTATAATGTCACTTAATGACATTCTCATGTATTATTTTTATATGATCAGATTTTATTCTGTTTTAAATAATTAAGAATTAAGAGTCTCCTGAAATAATATACAGAGATGAATTTCCTAAATGTGTTCCTGATATATCAGTGCTCAGCATGTAATATTATATTTGTGCATATATATCACTACTGAAGCCAAATCTGGAGATTATCTAAGAAAATCACTTACAATAATGGTTACCAAATTAGTAGCCCAAATTTATCCTCCTGAGACCCAAATATATTTTTGTTGTTGTTTTTTTTCTTTTTTTTTTCTGTGATTTCCTTTATCCTTTGGTTCATTCCGCTGTGGCAACCCCGAATTAATAAAGGGACTAAGCCAAATAGAAAATGAATAAATAAATGAATGTAAGCATCTGTATTTTCAAGCATTTATTTAAAACAAAAACAAACAAAAAAAGACAGACGTTAAAATTCAGGGTGAAGAAGGAATAAATCCTGGGAAAAACATGACTTCCCAAAACAAATCAAATGATATTAAACTGTTGATTGTTGAAAAGCAGTTGAAAGAAAACGATGAGTGCTGTAACATTGTTTATGGGTGGAGCAAGGTTGCTGGTTCGAGTCCCGACTGGGCCAGCTGGTGGTTCAATTCAACTGTTGTGTATTTTATTTCTATGGCACTTTTACAATGAAGATTGTGTCAAAGCAGCCTAACACAGAAGTTAGTGAATTAAAAACTGTCAGATTTCTGTGTGGAGTTTGCATGTTCTCCCCGTGTTGGTGTGGGTTTCTTCCGGGTGCTCTGATTTCCCCAACCGTCCAAACACATGCAAATAGGTGAATTTTGTCCGTAGTGTATGAGTGTGTGTGTAAATGTGAGAGTGTAGATTGCGGTTGGAAGGGCATCCACTGCGTAAAACATATTCTGGAACAATTGGCGGTTCATTCCGCTGTGGTAACCTCTAAGCAGAAGGAAAATTTACAAGTTTAAGAGTCAAATAGTTATGCTATCTTCCAACTCCATTAACTTCTTAATTTACCCATGTAGATATGATTTATAGTAAGACGAGGTGCGGAAGTGTGTGCATTTGGAAGGGATTTATTCACATTAACCATATTTTTCATTACGGTATGTATAGGAGCCATATTACTTTTCATTTAATTATAGTGCTTATTTGTATACTGATTAGTTTTGGGTTTCACCGTGATGTTTGATGTTTTGGTCACGTGGGCATACCTGGCACCTGCTAGCGCAAATAAAGCGCGTGCACAATCACACAGGTGTTAGGAGGAGAGCATAATAGTGGGGTAGCCGTAATTTTTGTTGACCGCTACAGCACACGCAACAACCATATATCACTACAACGCAATAATCAGCTCCATACACAACAGGTATTCAACCCACATATTGCTGTATTGTTTGTCATGTTGTAAGTTTATATAACGTTTCGCTTTAACATGGGCTCAGTGTGTCTGTTAGCCACCAGCGTGTTACAAATGCAAAGGACCCTCACTGTCTCTCTAGCGACTTAAGGAGGCATCAGGAAGTCGCAATAGTATGAGTAGCATTGAAATAACATATTTTAATTACCATCAGCACAATGAATATTGAACTTCGGTTCTGAGTAAAAACAACACATGAGTTGTAGGAAAAAAAATACAATGTGTTAGAAGAATCAACAAGCTTCAATAAATATAATTTTCAGCAAAGATTTATAAGTCTGACATAAATATAGAGATATCTGTATTTATACATTGTTGAAATCCGGACTGAGGTGTTCAATATATTGCTCTCTCTCCCTCTCTCTCTCTCTCTCTCACTATACATACTACAAGATTGAAGTCAAAATTATTCGCTCTCCTGTGAATTTCTTTATATATATATATATATATATATATATATATATATATATATATATATATATATATATATATATATATATATATATATATATATATATATATATTTCCTAAATTATGTTGAACAGATTCAGGAATTTTTCACAGTATTTCCTATAATATTTATTCTTCTGGAGAAAGTCTATTTGTTTTATTTTGGCTAGAATGAAAGCAGTTTTACATTTTTAAACCCATTTTAAGGTCAAAATTATGCAAAATGAAAAGTGACTCACTATTTACTCTTGCTCAAGATGAATTTCTTTCTTCTGTTTTACACAAAACAAGATATTTTGAAGAAACCTGAAAACTTGTAACCATTAACTTCTGTAGCAGGAAAAACAAATGCAATGGAAGTCAATGGTTTCCAAGTAAGTAACCTATTTTGTTATCTAAGAAAAGAAAACAACTCAGGTTTGTGACAAGTGAAGGACGAGTAAACAATGACAGAATTATCATTTTAGGGTGAACTGTCCCTTTAAACATGAGCCATGTATGGTCTCAGAGGAAGTATCTAATATTTAATGACCTCTACAGTGGACAATCCCGAGACACTTGCATCCTTGACTTGGGGGTGAGTAAATTACCTAAAAAATAAATTAAAATAATGATATATATATATATATATATATATATATATATATATATATATTTATTTATTTATTTATTTATTTTAGTGGTATTTTAGTGATAGAACACTTTATATAAGATAAGGGAGATAAGGCATAGTTCACCCAAAAATGAAGAATAACTCACCATTTACTAGTTTCAAACCTATTTGAGTTTCCTTTTTCTGTCAAACACAAAAGAAGATATTTAGAAAAATGCGTAAAACTGGTAACTATTAATTTACATAATAAAAAAACATAATAAATAATTACAGATTTCCAGCATTCTTCAAAAATCTTCTTTCGAAGAAAGAAATAGTAAATGATGATAAAATCTTCATTTTAAGGTGAAATGTCCCTTTAAACATGTGACATGTGGGGTCTCAGAGAAAGTAACTAAAATATAACATCCTCTAAAGTGGACAAAAGTGTCATTGTGGGTCCCAGGAGGCTAAAATTCTATTAATTAAACAAAATCCTTGATGACTTGAGGCTGAGTAATTTACCAAAACCAAAAAAACATACATTTATATATTTATTTAAGTGATTATCCCTTTACAGGCAAGAATTTCATAAACAATATATATATATATATATATATATATATATATATATATATATATATATATATATATATAGTAACATTATAGGGATAGTTCACCCAAAATATTCAATTTTCTCACTATATACTCTCCATATGCTTCCAAACCTTTTGTGATTTTAAAGAAAAAGGAAACCTTCCCTTTTTTCTTCAAAATTCCAAAAGAATATATTTTGAAAAATGCTAACTATTAACTTGCATTGTAAAAAAATTAAAAAACAAATACTAAGTCAATAATTACAGAGTTCCAACATTCTTCAAAATATCTTTTTTTGCATTCAACAGAAAAAAAGAAACTCAACTAGACTTGAACATGTGGAGGGCGAGTAAATGATGACAGATATATATATTTCAGTGATCTATCCCTTTACAGGCAAGATTATCATAAACAATAAATATATATATATGTATATATATATATATATATATATATACACTATAAAATTATTTTGTTATTTATTATTTATTTCACCTAAAAATATTACATTTGCTCACTATTTACTGTCCCTCAAGTGCTTCCAAACATTTTGTGATTTTGTATTAAAAGGAAACTCATAAAGATATTTTGAAAAATGCTGAAAACCGGCAACCATTGACTCGCATTGTAAAAAAAACAAAAACAAAGTCAATAATTACAGAGTTCCAACATTCTTCAAAATATCTTCTTTCAACTCAAACAGGTTTGAACAAGTGGAGAGCGAGTAAATGATGAAATATATTTCAGTTATCTATTCTTTTAAAGGGATAGTTCACCCCAAAATGTAAATTTACTAACCATTTACTTACTAGTTCCAAACCTTTGAGATTCCTTTTTCTTCAAAAATAGAAGATATTTTGAAAAATGTTGAAAACCAGTAACCATTAACTTACATAGTGAAAAAAACAAATCCAAAATCAATAATTAGAGATTTTCAACATTCTTCAAAATATCTTCTTTTGCATTCAGCAGAAGAAAGGAGCTTAAACAGGTTTAAACAAGTTTTAAATAAGTGGAGGGCGAGTAAATGATGACGGATATATATATTTCAGTGATCTTTCCCTTCTCATAAACTATATATATATATATATATATATACACACACTCATATTTACGGGACAGTTCACCCAAAATATCATATTTGCTCACTATTTACTCTCCCTCAAGTGCTTCCAAACTTTTTGTGATTTTAAAGAAACAGGAAAATTATAAAGAAGATCTTTATAAAAATGCTGAAAACAGGTAACCATCGACTTTAATTGTAAAAAAAAAAAAATAACTAAAACAGATTTCCAACATTCTTCAAACTATCTTCTTTTGCATTTAATAGAAGAAAGAATCTCAAACAGGTTTGAACAAGTGAAGGATGAGAATATGGATGTGCTGATGGAAGGACAGAATAATGACAGAATTATCATTTTAGGGTGAACTGCCCCTTTAAGCTTGTGCTATATATGGTCTCAGAGGAAGTATCTAATATTTATTGACCTCTACAGTGGACAAAAGTCCAATCTCGGGTCTGCTAAAATCAAAAATCACTTGCATCCTTGATGATTAGAGGGCGAGTATTTGACTCCTGTAGTAGGAAAAACAAATACTAAATCAATAATTACAGTTCCAACATTCTTCAAAATATCCTCTTTTGCATTCAACAGAAGAAACTCAAACATGTTTAGAACGAGTGAAGGATGAGTAAATGAGTGTTCGGTTTTGTGTGAACTGCCCCTTTAAACATTAAATACACACTGATGCTGCTTGAGCTGCTCGCTATCGCTGAACGTCTGGTTGCACTGAGCGCAGTGCTGTGTGTTTTGCAGTGTGTGTTTCAGCATCGCATCTCCAATGTGGATGTGCTGATGGCGTTTCAGATACTCCACGCGACTGAAGCGTTTCCCACAAGCCTCGCACTCGTACGGCCGCTCCCCCGTGTGTATGCGCTGGTGTCTCTCCAGATTCCCCAGCCGGCTGAAGCTGCGTCCACACTGCGGGCACCTGTGCGGACGCTCACCTGTGTGCACCAGCTGATGGCGCTCTAGTGATCGTGAGTGTGTGAAGCGTTTCCCGCAGAGTTCGCAGTGATGCGGCTGATCTCCCGTCTGGACGCATTCGTGGCTCTTGAGGCTCCAGGCGTGACCGAACGCTCTCCCGCAGGCGGAGCACTGATAGGGACGCTCTTCAGCCGCGGGACACGAGTGTTTGATGAGGTCGGATGAAGATGTGAAACCACTGCCGCAGCGCACACAGAAATGCATCATGTCTGCGCTCTCTGCTCCCGACTCCTCCCCTTCTTCTTTGGTCGCAGGGGCTGATGGGAGTTGTAGTTCTGCAGGGTCTCGGCTATGTGACGAGGAGGACATGGCCTGTCGATAAGGATCGAAGTTTGAAGTCAGAATTATTAATTAAATTTTCAAATATTCCCCAAATGATGTTTAACAGAGCAAGGAATTTTTCGCAGTGTTTATAAAATAAAAATCGCTTTCATAAATATTTCGTGTGTAAATAACGTATCTATAGTTCTAAAAACGTAAAGGAAAACGGAACATCCACGTAATTTATGAGGGTACAGCTCCAAAATCTGCGATTAGAACAGACAAAGATACAACATTTTCTTTGTCTATGACTGATAAATTTACGATGGGTGTACTTTACAAACACGAAATACAGTTTCACCACGGACACGACGACCTGACTACGAGTACGAATCAAACAGCAACACTCCACTGTCAAATTGATGTCACTGATGCCACAGGCATTAATAAACAAGCAAGAGCCATCGATCACAACGGTGCGCTTAATTAACAAACGTCATGTTATAGTTAAACACCGTTAAGTAATTCACTGAGAAATTTTGCGCTCGCTGCCTGTAACGTTTACTTGCATTCCCGGGTAAAAAAAAAGTGCACTAAAATGCACTTTATTTAAGTATACTTAGTACACTTTTCAGTAATGTACTAAAAGTGCTCTATTTTCGCACACAAACTTTGTACTTAATGTACTGATAGATAGTATTAAGTATATGTTAAAATAAACTAAATACCATCTAAGGGTGCTTTCACACCTGTGAATCGATTCAGTTGTTCCGAAACAAAGATTAAAATTGTAACATTGTTGCTCTTTGCTGTTGGAGCGGTTCGCTTTCACACTGCAAAGTTTCTAATCGGACCAAAAGAGCTAAAACAAGTCACGTGCGGGGAAACTCTCCTTACATTGGTCAGAGTGTCAGGGTTTATTTTGCAGCGTCCCGCTCAGCTGTCAGGAGAGGTGGTGGTTTGGTGGTGATTGACAGGGTGTGCGCGCGTGACGTGTCTGAGGAGAGACGCGGTGGGGAGGGGTGAGAAGGGTGCGCGACGATGCCTATTTGACGACTGGGAGAGAGACGCAAGATTACCGGGAGATCATCACTCGTTTGCGGGCATCTGGAGACTCGCGAAACTTCCCGCCCTACTCATAATTCTCTCTTCATATAGCCGTAAGCCTATTACATATCCATAAAACACTGTGATATAACCGCGCTCGGATCGGATCGCTTTCTCACTGCAATCGAACCGCTCCAGGGTTCGTTTCAATCGAGCCGAGACCACCTCACTCAAGCGATCTCGGAGCGATTACTTTGGCGCGGAACAGAGCGCGATTGCCCTGTTCACATATGCCAATCGAACCGCGCTAACTGGGCAAACGAGACACGTTCCGAAACAAAAGTGTAGGTGTGAAAGCACCCTAAGTGTACTCAACGGTGCTATTTTGAGACACCCTGAAATTGAACTAAAATGTGCGTTTAACAAACTATATCTGTATTTTAAAAAACATATTTAGTTACAACTAGAAATGCACTTGAACCCTAATTTTAAACATTTAAATATATTTATGACTAATTTAAAGTATAATAGTAATATATTAAAAGAATATACAAATTGTAAAAAAAAAGTGTGCTAAATACTGTATTAAAAGTGCTCTATTTCCCCAAACTAATTTTGTATTTTAATGTACTAAAAATTTGTATTAAGTACATTTTAAGATAAACTTAAGTACATCTAATGCCTAGTTCACACTAGAGGATTTTAAGCCTGATTTGAGCCCGATTTGGAAGTTAACGAGCTCGCCGACAGATCGGGCTGTGATCGGGAAGAAATCTGCGGGTGTTTGGCGCTCGCCGCTCTTTATGTGTGAACTACTGAGCAACGCATCAACGAGGCTCGCTGACGCGTCGCCGACACCTCGCAGACGCAAATCCAACATTCAGCATGCTAAATATTCCGGAGCAGTCGGCCGACTCAACCCCACGTGTGGTCAGATGTAGTGACGAGCTGCAGCCAATGAGAGAGCATATCAGCATAAGCTGAATGGCTGTGTGTTCAGGAGCTCAGCAGAAACATCTGTGATTGGTCAGAATGGGCATCAGTGCACTCGCTTCATTCTGCGTTAACACAGACATGAGAGTAGGCTATATTAACAGTGGCACTAGAATTCTGTAACTATTAGAATTACCATACTGCTCATTCTGACCGTTCTCATATGAAACGCCATATTGTCACAACATATTTACATTCAAAGCTATTATTGAGATATTAAAATTAAGCTTTGAATGTCTGGCATCATATTTAATGACACCATTACCCTAAAAATATAATATTTTTTTGGTAATCCAGCCTATAAATATGTAGTTAAGATACTAAAACACTTAAAGGCTTGGCTTTCATTTTCACTTTCAAACAGGAGCTATTTAACAGCACAGAATATGCTGTTTTGAAAGATATCTGAAGTAAATTGATGTTTTTGCCATCAGAAAGTTTTGTTTATGTTAGCAGGAAGTTGCCAGGCAAGAAAATGCACACATATTTAAAGTCACAGTGAAAAGTATCAGACATGCATGCAGTCATGTTGACCAATATGGTAATTTAAGGCAGAAATGCTCAGTTCTTTACTGTTTTGTAATAAAAAAAAAAAACAATGTCAGAAAGAAATACACTAATAGTTAGAAAACGGCAGGGTGTTATAAATATTTTAGTTTTATTTCAAAGAGTTATAAAATTCCAAAAATTAAAAACTCTGTGTATCTATCCACTCAAACCTTGCAGATGAGTGATTAATCCGCTCATAAATCAGCTGATTTGACGATGTTTTTAAATGCTTTCTCCAAAGCTTGAAACGCTGTCAGTGATGTCATCAGCACACAAACAGCCAATAGTGTTCAGCTTTTTTCTGAAGACTCCTCCCTCAAAATTTCATTGGTTGTGGTTTGGTAGCTTGAATGGGCTGATGGGGAATGAGATGTTGTCAGATCACGTAGTGTGAACACCACAGAGATTAAAAGACACAAAGTCAAGTCATGTAGTGTGAACAGCACAGCGATCTGCTGATGTTTAAAATCCTGTAGTGTGAACTAGGCTTAAGTGAAGCTAATCTAAAATGTGCTTTTAACATACTAAATATTTATTTAAAGAATATATTTTGAAGGGATCCCAGGTGAAAAAAAAAAATAATTAAATGCAATCAAAATACACTTAAATACCCGCAAATACTTTTTTAGTACATTGTTATTTTTTGTGTTAAATAAAAGTTTGATGGTTTTACACTATAAATATACTAATTAAAAGTATGTTTATACTTCAGTAGGACTTTAGTACACTTGACAAAAGTATACTAAATACCAGTAATACTTAAATAAATTTTAAGTGTACTACAATAAAGTACACTACAGAAAAAACATCCAAAAGAGTTTTATTCTGTAACGTTAACTTACATTATGCTAGCTCACTATCCTCGGCCTATTCTTAATTTGGATTCTGTAAAATGTCCAAGAAACGCAGCGAAAATGGACTTTATTAAGTCTCAACCTTAATTACAGCTCCAGACGAACATTTCTCAAAGAGGTAAAACAAAAATCGTGTGGGAGCTCGAGTGCCCAGCAATCGCATCGTTGTGATTGATGGCTCTCGCTTGTTTATTAATGCCTGTGACAGCGGTGACGTAATTTTGCCAGTGGACTATTGCTTTTTGATTCGTACTCGTAATCAGGTCGTCGTCTCCATGGTGAAACTGTATTTCAACATGTGAAGGGGTCGGGGGTGATCTGATCGATGGCTTTGTGGTCGGGGGTGACCGTTGTGATTGATGGTTCTCGCTTGTTTATTAATGCCTGTGACAGTGCTGACGTAATTTTGACAGTGGAGTGTCGTTTTTTGATTCGTACTCGTAATCAGGTTGTCGTATATGTGGTAAAACTGTATTTCAACATGTGAAAGGCGTAGGGCTAAGGGGAAGGGCTAGATAGCCCTATAAATGGAGATTTTTCAGGACTACACTCAAAACCAAAGGGTAAGAAAATTTTCCAGAGTACACCATCGACAACGGCAGCATGGCTGCACACGGAAGTAAGGAGATGCACAAATTATTATTTTTTTGTCATTATTATCATTTAGTATTATCGTTATGATAACTTAATATATCCCTTCAGTGATTTCCTGAAGATAAATACCAAAAAAAATAACACAACTGGAATAACTACAGCAGTCGCCATCATCTGATCTCATATGAAGCAAGAGATCACGATAACCGTCACGCTACTAAGAAGTTAAGCTACTTGTAGTGACGCTACTGCCCAGCACTGTGCAATTTTAAATAAACGTGCTGTTGAGAAAATAAATGCATCTTTTAACTTTTTGATGATTATTTTCTCATTCATTTACAAATATCGTAACATATTGTGGATGCTTTTTCGTGATATATCGCAGAATCGCTGATATCGTGATTTTGCAATATTGGGGGCAAAATATCGTGATATTATCCAATCCAATATTATCATGAATTAACCAATGATTCACACCCCTATTATACAATGACGTGCTTAATTACCCTAATCTGCCTAATTAACCTAGTTAACCCTTTAAATGTCACTTCAGCTCAATTAGGTTAATTAGGCAAGTTAGGATAAGTAGGCAAGTCATTGTATAATAAGGGTGCGAATCCCTAGTTAATTCACAATACAATAATAATACGGAAAATTTCAGCGACACTCCACTGTCAAAATGACGTCACCGATGCCACAGGCATTAATAAACAAGCAAGAGCCATCGATCACAACGTTGCGCTTAATTAACAAACGTCATGTTATAGTTAAACACCGTTAAGTGATTCACTGAGAAATTCTGCGCTCGCTGCCTGTAACGTTAACTTACATTATGCTGGCTCACTATCCTCTGCCCATTCTTGATTTTGATTGTGTAAAATGTCCAAGAAACACAAGGTTGAGACTTAATAAAGTCCATTTTCCCTAATTACAGCTCCAGACGAACATTTCTCAAAGAGGGAATAACAAAAATCGCTGTCGCCATCATCTGATCTCATTTGAAGCAAGAGATCACGATAACAGTCACGCTATTAAGAAGTTAAGCTACTTGTAGCGACGCTACTGCCTGCAATTTTCAATAAACGTGCTGTTAATAAAATAAATGCATCTTATAACTTTTTGATGCATTATCTTCTTATTCATTTACAAATATCGTAACATATTGTGGATGCTTTTTTTTATATATATTGCAGAATCGCTGATATCGTGATATTGCAATATTGGGGGCAAAATATCGTGATTATCGTATCGTGAATTAACCAGTGATTCACACCTAATTACCCTAACCTGCCTAAATAACCTAGTTAAGCCTTTAAATGTCACTTTACAGGGCTCAACAATAAGGACTGCCCAATGGCCCAGGGCCAGCGTAAGAGACGCTTGGGACAGTAGAGAGGATCATTACTGGCCTGATTGGGACAGTGCTGCCTTGTCACTTAAATTTAATTTGTCTGCGACTATTTGTCAATTGCGTGCATTTTAAGTTTGTGCTTTTAAGTCTTTAAACACTACCTTCTCTGTGATGTCGTAAACACCATATTGCCTTTCAATTCCTCTCATCTGATTGGATGTTTTGAGCATGCTAATTTTTTCCGTAACCTGGTAACAACCAGTACAGCGAAAAGATAGCAACATGGCGGCAACATCAAATTATTAGGCTAAAAGAAAATATCTGTTTCTAACGTCTTGGAAGCAGACATTTACGTGTAAACAACACAACAAAAAAATTAAGTGATGTTTTACACAGTTTGCTTTAAGTTTGACAAGTCAGCCACCTTTTGTTAAATAATTTCAAACCGCAATGAAATACCTCCACATTTTTCTCTGCTCTTTTTGTGCGCATAACACTTTTACTAACATGTTTTTAAGTATTGAAATTCTAGATTCACAGACTTCATTTTTGACACATTATTTAAAATATGCGGCTAAAAAATAGCTATTAACTTCCTTTTTTTAGGTGGGGCGACTGAAAATTTTGGCAGGGCAAGTAAAAATCTGAACCACTGGCCCGATCAGACCAGTAGAAAAAGTCCTTAGCGTTGAACCCTGCTTTAGCTTAATTAGGTTAATTAGGCAAGTTAGGGTAAGTAGGCAAGTCATTGTATAGAAGTCATTTGTTTCATAGAGTTCAGTATAGGCAAGATTACGGTACTTGGCGCTGAAGATTTTTCTTTTTCTTTTCATGCTTCTAGCGAGGTAAGGGGTTCGTTTACGAGTTAGAATTGTTTTGTTATATTTATTCCTTCACTAGTGTCCCTTTACTCTTGAGTTCTCCTAATTTTGTTTGACACTTTGTTTAATTTGTTACTTTATTATGATTGTAAATATTTTTCTTATTGTGTGTATGTATATATATGTAAATATATATATAAAATTGGGCATTACTCTTTCACTTTTTTGTACATTAAATCACTTTCGTTGGCAGTTTTGTTGTTGTTTGTGTCTTTAACTTTAACCCTTCACTTGTGAAAGTACCACACCTTTTAAATGTTATTACTTTTACCCTAGACCAGGGATGGGCAAACTTGATCCTCGAGGGCCGGTGTCCCTGCAGAGTTTTGTTCCAACACTAGTCAAACACACCTGAACAAACTAATCAGTGTCTTCAAGATCATTTGAACTCTATAGGGAGGTCTGTTTGGATAGGGTTGGAGCTAAACTGTGCAGGACACCGGCCCTCCAGGACCGAGATTGCCCCCCCCCTGCCCTAGACTAACATCAGAGAGGTTGTAACAACTAGTTTATTCTGGAGACCAAAAGTGTGAAAAGCCAGCTCCTGGACGGCCGCAGCTCTGCACAGTTTAGCTTCAACCCTGCTTCAACACACACTTACCTGTAGATTTAAAACAAGCCTGAAGGACTCAATTAGTTTGATCAGCTGTGTTTAAGTTGGGTTGAAACTAAACTGTGCAAATCTGCGGTCCTCCAGTGACTGGCTTTGACACCTTTAATATAGACAACCCAAAAAAAATATTGCTTAAGAGAGCTAACCTTGACCTTTAAAAAGCTTTTTTTTAATGAAAATTCCTTTTATTCTAGCCGAAATAAAACAAATAAGACTTTCTCCAGAAGAAAAAATATTATAAGAAATACTATGAAAAATTCCTTCCTCTGTTAAACATCATTTGGGAAATATTTGAAGAATAGGGACTAATAAATCTGAAAATTAATACTTTCTTTAAGATTGTTTGCGCAATAAATACCAAATAATTTTGTGATATATTTTTAAGCCCGTATCGCCCGTCCCTACCTGTTGAGAGCTGCACAACCCATCCAGACCTATAAACCCCACGCCTTCGGATCCGCACGGCTCCAGCGATGGGCTGCCCAGGCCAGACTCTGCCTCTTCTCGCTCGCGCTCCGCTTTAAGAGCCGTCTCCAGTCCGCTCAGCTCATCTCCTCCACTCAGGGGCTGCTCTGAATGGGCCGCTTTATTGTCCCAGCGTTCAGCAACAGAGGATTCAGGAGCAGCAGAGGCAGGGCCCATTTCTCCTGCACACACAAACAGATAAACTAATCACTTACACGTTAAATTACACATGAAATCAAAACAAAGCATATTGATTTGGTTAGCTCACATTGCTAGTTTTGCAGTGAACAACTCATCTGTGCATGTTATTTAGAGAGAAAAAAATAGTTTGTCCTTGTAATCTTTAAGCAAAGAGCATAGAATCACCAAGAGGTGAACCTCTAGTGCAATTTCGTAAACAGCCACTAGATGGCGCGGCGGCCATTTTGGAATGAAAACTCCAATAGAGTGGAGGAACTATGACGTCAATTTGTATGCAAAAACCCGGAAGCGAGTTAGCATTTTAGCACTTCCGGTTCCCTCGTCCCAAAGTCAATGGGTTTTTTGCATGGGGTTTCAGTAAAATTGCTTAAATAAGGTCCGTGGCAAACACAAATTCAAGATACTTTGACGTTTTGTTCTACGACATAAAACACATCAGTTACAGCACACTCTTGGATTTTTAAATAAGTTATGCTTCTTTAAAAAGACGGTTGCTATCAAGTTGCTAAATGGGACTACAGGCGGTGTCGGAGACATTATACGTCATCGAGCTTGCGAGTGATACACTTATTTAAATATGTCTTATGATAATACTATATAGGCAGATTTATACACGCAGTTTTATAACTTTTGGAACAACCGTAAAGCAAAACAAATGTAATTCCCATGTAAAAACGATTTAAAAGGCACATAGGTCTATGTGTTTTTGTGTATTTATTTGTTTATAATATATAGCGTGGATTATAATATAATAAACAGAGAGATTAACTCTTTGTCATGGACGTTATTTCTAAAATTAAGCTTGATAAGTCGTCTGTAGCAGGGTGGGGCTGACGTCACAGACGAGCGCCCCGAGGGCTCTGTAGTCCGTTTATAGTCTAATGTTAGCTTTTCAACTCTTGCGTTTGCATTTAAGATCCAAAAGTGCTCCAAGTTGTATTTTCGTGTGAGGATTATCCGGCTGGACAAAACGTGTAAGTGTAATGAACTGTGTTTGAACACAGAGCTTATTATTTGCAATCAAAGCCTATGGGAAAATCCTATAGGGAATTTAACGAGGGAACCAGTTTTATGCTAGCAGCCGATTAGCCTACAAAGTGACGTCATAGTTCCTCCACTCTATAGAACAACAGCATATTATAAGTCTGTAAAATAAACTATTAAAAGTGCTGATGATTGTCATAGTAAGTGTTGTATTGTCATCTTTCAGGTTGTATCTCAGCTTCAATGCGCTTTTTAAATAAATAAAGCAGCTGCTTGCCATCGCGACAGCAATAAGATCCAATGGACAGCCGACTGCTTTCACTCCAAAATGAAGAAATCCTGGGCTGCTGCAATGGAACGTTCTATTGAGTGTTGCCTCTTGGCCATTGTAAGCTCTTTGCTTTAAGCTAAATCTGTAAATTCACTTCCTGTTTGTTTTCAGTTAAATCTTCAACTAAACAGCTGTTTGAGGTATTGGGCGGGGCTAACATACTTAACCCGCCCCTCCAGCTGTGATAACTAACAGAAATGCTGAGGAGGAGGAGTCTGTTAGGTTGTAATAACTCTCCCCAAACCCTTTTCCAGATCTTTCTGAATGAAACGCCAACTTTACTACATCCAATCAGCTCGCCGTAGAAAAAACAAGCTACGCCCACTGTTTTCTCATTTAATATTTTATTTCACAATAAAAAAAAAGGCACAGCTTCTGGCTGATATACTCAAGCATTTTTGTTATTAAACATTTAACACATATTTCTACAATCTTGGTACAGCTATTTTCAGGGATTTTTTAGGTTTGAGGCAAATACTCACTCTTTCACTCACAACAGGGGTCACCAAACTTGTTCCTGGAGGGCCGGTGTCCTACAGATTTTAGCTCCAACCGTAATCAAACGCACCTAAACAACTTATTCAAGGTCTTAATAGGTATACTTGAAACACCCAGGCAGGTGTGTTGAGGCAAGGTAGAGCTAAACCCCGCAGGGACAGCGGCCCTCCAGGACCGAAATTGGTCGGTGATCCCTGAATTAGAGTATAGATACAAATGTAAGTTAAAATCTTTAATTATAAATTAAAATGTATATGTTTAAGTATCAGAATGTGGTTTTTTTGCATGTACTGAGAAATTGGTGCATGTGGTAGTGTTTTTGATGTTGCAAAAAAGTGATTATAATGAATCAAAATCTCAAAATCATAATCTTTTGCATTTAATATATAAAAGGACAAAATGTGGTTATGTTGAGAAAAACAGAACTGAAACAGGTTACAGTTTTGAAAAGTGTATGATTTTTAAGAAGTTTCGCCATCTGCCAGTAAAAGTGGAAAAAATTTCATATATTTTATGGCCGTGTAACTTTTTTAAAGTTAAGGTTTTGGAGTGGGTAAGACCAGGGGCAGACTGGGACAAAAATCAGCCCTGGCAATGTAGCCACACCAGCCCACATTACCCCACCGACACAGCCCAATCTACGGGCACGCACATTCACTACTTGGTGTACAGATGGTGAAATAATATAAGCAGTACAATAATAGATAGTTAAACATTTAATGTATGTGACTGAAACAAAAACAACCCATTTAAAACAAATTTCTACATGCAATCATTTAATTCATTTTCTTTTTGGATTAGTCCCTTTATTAATCTGGGATAGCCACAGCAGAATAAACCGGCAACTTATCCAGCATATGTTTTATGCAGCGGATACCCTCCAAGCTGAAACCCATCACTGGGAAACCCCTACACAAATACATGCACTACAGACAATTAGGCCAACCCAATTCACCTATAGCACATGTGTTTGGACTTGTGAGGGAAACCGGGAGGAAACCCATGCGAACATGCAAACTCCACACAGAAACACCAACTGACCCAGCCGAGGCTCGAATCATCTACCTTTTTGCTGTATGGCGACAGTGCCCTTTCGCGACTATTTCAGTTAATTTTATGCATTTGGTAGCGTCTGATTTTAGAGCAATTTTTAACTTTCTCTGAGCTTTTTGGCATCGCCTTTCCTTTTTTACGGTCCATCTCTGACAGTTAGCTTGTGTTGCACTTATTGGTCGTTTGACATTCTTGCCAGATTTTGATTACGTCCACGTAACCTCTGATTGGGTCGGCCCATCATGAAACCAGCCGGCCACTGCCAATTGGGCCAATGCTTAACATTTATTATTATTATTACTATTTTTATCATCATCATCATCATAATATTCACATCTTGCAAGAGATAAAAGCTGCCTGCATGTAAAAACTATTTTTTAAAAATTATTAAAAAATAGCATACTGGCCCACATTTTAAAAAAATGGTTCGGCCCTTCTGGCATTTGCCAAAATTGCCAGATGGCCAGTCCGCCCCTGGGTAAGACTACCACTAAGGCTGCTAATATTCTATTAATATCTGGTAAAATACACTCACAGGCCACTTTATTAGGTACACCTTACTAATACCAGGTTGGACTCCATTTTTCGCTTCAGAACTGCCTTAATCCTTCATGGTAGAGATTCAACAAGCTACTAGAAATATTCCTCAGAGATTTTGCTCCATATTGACATGATAGCATCACAGATGCTGCAGATTTGTCGGCCGCACATCCATGATGATGAGTGTATATTTACAATATAAATAAAATGCATTTAAACTGATTTATTACTCTAAAGCCTAAACTTAACTATTATACTGCAGAAACATTTTATGATTCATTTTAAGTCTAGGAGTCTTTAATGCACCCTTGAAGAATAAAAGCAAAATTTAAGGTAAATGAAAGAAAAAAACTAAATTAGTCAAATCATCTGTTTGCATGTGCAATGCAAGACAAAAAAAATATTTTTGTTTCACAGAAAACAGTTTTTAATTAAAATTTAAAAGTGGAACAAATTTAAACAACGCCTTTTAACAAAGCATTCTTGTTCATGCCAGCAATCAGAAAAAGCAAATGAATAGCTGTTTAGCTGAACAAAGCGATGCAGTGCTCACCGTGGGTGGGACTGGAGGAGGGAGCAGTGCTTTCACTCGGGTTCATCTGCAGAGCCTCCTGCAACAGCCTCAGGGAGTCCGATCTGTAACCCTCCACCTTTATCCATCAGCCCACAGAAGCAAAAACATGAGCAAGGTGTGAGAAATTCCCTTCGCCAAAAACAATGCATTGCTTTCAAGCAGATGTTAACCATTTAAGGAGTAACCTTGAGTTACGTACAAGCAGTTCATTTATTATCTTGCTATGCAATGAAGGAGCTTTGGGTTAGCCTGTCAAGTGTTTTCCTCTGTATTAAAATTGCATCAAATGTAGATGTAAATGTAGTGTAAAAGAAGATCTATTATGCCCATTTTATCAAGACGTAAAGTCTCTAATGTCCCGAGAGTGTGTATGTGAAGTTACAGCTCAAAATACCACACAAACAATGTTTTAGAACTCTTTAAACCTGCTCCTTTTTGGCTTTGATCCTAATTATGCTGTTTTGGTGGCTGTCACCTTTGTGCAATTTTCAAAAGAGGGCGGAGCTACAAATGCCTGTGTGTCAGCATAGTGGCAGATTCAAAACAGAGGTCCGTTCTTCGTACCTCGCTTAAATGATCCAAGATGATTTGGCAGATCCTGGATCTGTTAATCTTGATAACTGATCTCTGGCTAATTTGGTTCTTCAAACAAGTTTGTGAATCAGATTAAAATGTCTGGATGAACTGATCTGAGATTGCTTTGTGTGTTGTGAAGGAATGATCTATCAATCCTCAAAATCATGATCAGCAATGCGTAATGACATCATCTGATTAATATTCAGTTATCCATGTGAGCTAAATTACATAAGATTTGCAGTAAACGGTTTGTTAAATATGATACGCAACAACTTTACACTTTGTTGTGGGCTGCATGCTTGGATCTTTCATGCGTCAAGAGCAGTTTAATTAGTTTTACAGTTAGAGCGGATTTTTCTTATTATAGTAGCCACAGTAGTATCATTGTAGCCGTTTTATTAATCGGTGTAATGAATAACTGGATGTTTACAAAAGCATTTTGATATTGGTAAAGGCGTCTGCAACTTTTCTGAAGCATCAAATCACGTCTATTATTATACACAAATTGTACTAAAGCGATCTATAAAGTTCATATCAATAGGTTTTCTCTTTGCACCAGCAGGTGGCAGTCTTTGTACTTTCATTTCGGGGTTCAGATTGCATAAATTTTAATAATATAATGTTATTTACTTTATTAATAACTATAACTTTTATCCAAAGCGACTTATATCCAGAGCGAGATATATATATATATATATAGCTAAAAAATATTTACTATTTTCCCAAGTGTATATAACTACTACTGTAAGAAAACATCAGAATTCGGTACATACTTTCTGTATTATCTTTGCTTGAACTGAGCCGATCTAATCCTGTTTATATGAATTGAACCTGCTCCCGACCAGGTTTGAGCTACCAGAACTGTTGCTATGACAACAACTCTCACATTAGTTTTGAAGAACGAAACAATCCTGGATCATGTCAAATCGCCAATAACCAAATCCAGCTAACGGAGTAATCCACGTACGAAGAACGGACCCCAGGACTAATGTTATCTGTGTGAAAAACAAAATTCAGTTTTATGCGATATTGAAACGAATATATTTCTTAGGGGGGGCTAATAATACTGATCTTAAAATTGTTTTAAAAATTAAAACTGCTTTTATTCCAGCTAAACTAAACTACATAAGACATTCTCCAAAATATATACAGTTGAAATCAGAAGTTTACACACAGTGTATAAAAAGGCACATAACCATTTAAAAAAAAAGTCAGATGTTAATGTGACTAAACTTTTTCTCTTTTAGGTAAGTTAGGATTATCAAATGTGTTTCTGTTATGCTTAATAGCAGAATAATGAGAGATATTTTTGAGAAATTGTTATAACCTTTCTTGAAAGTCAAGTTGACATACAATAAGATTATTCTGCCTCTGAAAAAGCCCAGATGATGGTGTCAAGCTTTTGGAAGTTTCTGATTGGCTAATTGACAACATTTGAGTTAATTAGAGGCACAACTGTAGAATAGTATTTAAGGAAAACCTCAAACACACTGCTTCCTTGTGTGACAACATGGGAAAATCAACAAGCCAGAATCAACAAAAAAGCAGATTACAATTTGCTAAATTACACTGGGAAAAAAGACTAATTCTTGGAGACGTGTCCTGTGCTCTGATGGAGCTAATATTGAACTGTTTGGCCATAATGACCAGTGTTATATTTGGAGGACAAAGGGGAACGCTTACAAGCCTAGCAACACCATCCCAACTGTGAAGTATGGGGGCGGCAGCATCATGTTGTGGGGCTGTTTTGCTGCAGGAGGGACTGGTCCACTTCACAGCATAGATGGCATCATGAAGAAAGACCATTATGTAGAAATACTGAAGAAACATCTCAAGACATCAGCCAGGAAATTAAAACTTGGCCACAAATGGGTCTTCCAAACAGACCATGACCCGAAGCATACTGCCAAATTAGTTAAAATGTGCTTAAAGGACAACAGAGTGAATGTTTTGAAGAGATGATCCCAATGTTTCCACATTCCCGGACCAGGCCGTGGCAAACCACTGGCTTGCTTGGTTCTGGACTTGTAGAGCTGCACATTGATGGATTGGCTCTCTCAGCAGTGAATATAGTTTGGACTCTCAGCAATGAATATTAAACCACACTGAACTGAACTAAACTGAACTTAAACCCTGAAAACTGGTCTGACACGGTTTTAATTCACTATGATCTTCTATGTGAAGCTGCTCTGACACCATCTACATTGTAAAAGCGCTATAGAAATAAAGATGAATTGAATTGAATACCCTGGAGTTTTCGTGCCGTTGAAAACAAAGAGTTTTAAAAACACTGAAGAAGTTGTTTAAAATGCTGGTACTGTTGTCAGTGTAGATGAGGATAACGGAGGTGTGACTGCTGACACTGAAAAAAAATGTTCATTGGATTTACTACATTATTATGGTAGGTGGTTGCTAACAATTTATATGGGCTGAATTTTAACAAACAAATTAAGTTGAAGACATTTATTTTGTTTAAATCCAGCTGATATAAATAGTTTGCAACCACTTACCTTAAATACCACTTAGTAAATCCAATGATTTTTTTCAGTGATGACCTTCTGTGTAGATTTCCATCCATCAAAATCTACTTTGAAGCACTGTTTAGTCGATGTTTCTTCACCCTCTCTCTGTCTCCTCCACTCCCTGCAGATGTTTCCTCGCATATGATTGGCTACTCACCTCCTCTTTAATGCTGGCCACCTCCTTCATCTCCTCCTCCACATCCTCTCCTCCTCCAGTGTTGAGACGGGCACGAAACCCTCCTCCAGCCCGCTCCTCCCACGCTCCCCCCGGCTTGCCTCCTGAGAAACAGACGGGAGGGGGAAGGAGGAGAGGAGAACAGGAGGGGGAGGGAGGAATGCAAAAGGAGGAGGAGAGGAAGGAGAAAGAAACATGAGAACTGAGGAGCAGGTCGCCATGATGGTTCTCGATAAAACAGCAGCATCACCCGCTGGATCTTACTTTGGAGATCCGCTTTGCGCGCTTTACGCACGGCGGTGTCCTCCGCGCCGAGCAGCCCCGCCGCGCGCCGACCGGCCGCCCAGCCCATGCCGTATTTGCGCTCATTCCTCAGTTTATTCTCAGTCAACCTCAGTCTCAATTTAAGAGCTTCGTTCTCTTTTCTGTTCAGGGAGATTTCCACCAGGTAGTCGTTGACTGTGTCCTGGAAGAGTTTGGTGATCTCGCACACTGACGCGCGGACCAGACTGTCCATAACCGCGGTCAGGTGCGCTTGGAAGGTTTTAACCGACTCCGCCATGGTTTCACAACTATTCACGTATAATAAATAAAGTTATGACTAACAAAATCCCCGTTTTTACGCCATATATGTCAGCAATGGTCAGACTTCATATTTAATATGCACGCTTCGCTATTACACCGAGTAAAATATACACAAATAATCTGACATCACCGACTGTCACCCAACTTTGTAGCGCTCAGCCAGTGGAGTGAAGCCCGTTCTTCTGTCCGCTGTCTTTAAGATCGCAGAAAGAGAGCCTTTAGAGGATGATATTCCACCTCAGGTGGTCTCGTAAATGTGGTCGTAGTTTAGAAAAGATTCTCGCTGATGTTTTACAGGTGCGTTATCACAATTCCACCGAGTCTCGACCACCCCTCTCAACTCTAGAGGTTTTAATTCTCGCCTACAATATTATTTCCGGATGTCGCGTTCTGCGCATGCGCAGGAGCTACCGTAATTACTCGAACATAACTGTCAAGGTGTTAACTGGTTAGCATGGGGTTTGGTTTAAATGCAAATACTGAATACAAAACAAAAAAAAGTACTATAATGTCATATCAATAATATGTGTTTGCTGTTTTCATGTGAAGTCTGCTGTTGTGATGCTTATTGTAACACAATTTGAGCTGCATAACTTGTTAGAAATGTGCTACACTACAAATATAAATTTTCCTTAAACTTAGTCCCTTTATTTATGAGGGATCACCACAGCGGAATGAACCGCCAACGTATCCAGCATATATTTTACATAGTAGATACCCCTGCAGCCCCAACCCATCACTGGGAAACACCCATACACACTCATTCACACCCATACACTACGGCCAATTTAGTTTATGCAATTCCCCTATAGTGCAATTCCCCTATAGCGCATGTGTTTGGACTGTGGGGGAAACCGGAGCACCCGGAGGAAACCCACACCAATACGGGGAGAACATGCAAACTCCATACAGAAATGCTAACCGACCCAGCTAGGACTCGAACCAGCGACCTTCTTGCTGTGAGGCGACATGCAGTGCTAACCACTGAGCCACCATGCCACCCACTAAAAATATATTTATTATAATAACGTAGTTTCAGGAGCTGATGAAAATAAATGTAATTAATTAATAAGCGTAACACTATATACGTAGCATATGTATGTATGTGTTAGCCATCTTGTTAATTTAATCGTAACGTATAACATATGTATATATATATTCGTTCATTTTCTTTTCAGCTTAGTCCCTTTATTAATCAGTGGTCGCCACAGCGGAATAAACTGCCAACTAATCCAGCATACGTTTTACGCAGCGGATGCCCTTCCAGCTGCAAGCCTTTACTGGGAAACACCCACGCACTCTCTTTCACACACATACACTAGCTAGAACATGCAAACTCCACACAAAAATGCCAACTCAGCTGGGGCTTGAACCAGCAACCTTCTTGCTGTGATATATATATATACATATATATATATATATATATATATATATATATATATATATATATATATATATATATATATATATATATATATATATAAAATCTATCTATACATATATATATATATATCGTCAGCTTGGAATTATAAGGTTCTCTCTGCGTTCTGAATGATTTTGAGATATTGAGCTTAACAGTTTTTGCAATCTATAGCAAACAGTATGTGTGTAACATTTGCTTTTTAAATAAAAACTTTTACATCCCAAACATCCCATAATGTAAATAAGTTGTCATTTAATAAGCATGTCAATAACTCAATTTTTGACAAAAATTTATATATATACAGTATATATATATATATATATATATATATATATATATATATATATATATATATATATATATATATATATATATATAATTTATTTATTTATTTATTATTTTTGCAGTTGATTTGCAAATGATCTTTCATTAATATTTAGTTTCAGTTTCTGTCTTCATTAAACACTTAATCATTTATAATTTATATATTTTTAGCATTAAACTAAAATGCTATTACTATTATGTTCTCCTTTATTATTGTTTAGTTTCTGCAGTCTATTTGTCTGCACTTGCTGTATACAACTTTACCATGCATCATATTACAAGTGGAATTCATTTGTAATCTTTTTACATTTTATGATGCTGCTTTGCTTGTTTTGCTTGTTAATTATTATTTATTTTTAATGGGGCGGCACAGTGGCTCAGTGGTTAGCACTGTTGCATGTTCTCCCCGTGTTGGTGTGGGTTTCTTCCGGGTGCTCCAGTTTCTCCCACAGTCCAAACACATGCGCTACAGGGGAATTGATTAAACTAAATTGGCCGTAGTGTATGAGTGTGTGTGTGTGTGTGTGTGTGTGATTGAGTGTGTATGGATGTTTCCCAGTACTGGGTTGCAGCTGGAAGGGCATCCGCTGCCTAAAACATATGCTGGATAAGTTGGTGGTTCATTCCTCTGTGGCCACCCCTGATGAATAAAGAGACTAAGCTGAAGGAAAATTAATTAATTAATATATTATTAGTATTATTAATCAAATAGAAGTTTTGTCAGTGAAAGGGATAGTTCACCATAAAATTAAAAACCCTGTCATCATTTACAAACCAGTTTCTTTCTTCTGTTAAACACAAAATAAGATATTTTAAAAATTCTCAAATCCTGTAACCATTGAGTTTCATAGTATTTGTGTTTCTCTACTATAGAAGTCAATGGTTTCAGTTTTTTTTCTCAAATAATTTCTTTTAAGTAAGGTTTTGACTGAACTGTGCATGTAATAAAATAATAATCAAATCAAATGTAAATAGAAATTATATATTATAAAATTATTAGAAGTATAAAAAAACTATAAAAAATAATAAAGTTTATTCATAATTATTTACAGACAATAAATAACCGTTAATAAAACTTAATACTTAATTAATAAATAAAAAAACTGCAATTTTAGCCATTTATTTGTTTGTTATAGATGTTTACTGACGTTTATTTATGGTTATCTATGTCAAAGATGACAGTTTCCACATCTCGTGCTGCCCTGAGTGTACAGTCTGGGATACAGCTTCAGATACTCGCGTAAATATAGCATTTCATGAGTGTGAATGAGTGTGTATGGGTGTTTCCCAGTACTGGGTTGCAGCTGGACGGGCATCAGCTGTGTAAAACATGCTGGATACGTTGGTGGGTTTCTTTCTTCTGTTAAACACAAAATAACATCGCTGAACTCCTGTTTAACCATTGTGTTTCATAGTATTTTTTCTCTACTATCGAAGTCAATGGTTTAAATTTTCTCTTCTAAATAACTTATTTTAAGTAAGGTTTAGGCTGAACTGCGCCTTTAATAAAATAATAATCAAATCAAATGTAAATACAATTAAAAGAAATTATAAAAATATTAGAACTAAAAGAAACAATTAATAAAATAACACAGTTCATTCATAATTTTTTACAGTTAATAAATAAAAAAAAGTAATTTTTGTCATTTATTTAATTGTTTTAGTTGTTTACTGGCGTTTATTTATGGTTATTTATGTCAAAGAGGACATAGTGCTGCCCTGAGGGTACAGTCTTGGATACAGCTGCAGATACTCACATTAATACAGCATATCATGAGTGTGTATGGGTGTTTCCCAGTACTGGGTTGCAGCTGGAAGGGCATCCGCTGTGTGAAACATATGCTGGATAAGTTTGCGGTTCATTCCACTGTGGCCACCCCTGATGAAAAAAGGGACAAAGCCGAAGGAAAAGGGTAGATGTTGAAAAAGTAATAATGGGTAATTTAATAATAAACAATATGAAAAATACTCGATATAGCCTAACTGATTTTACATTACTGTGATGGTTGGGTTTATGGTTAAGGTATAGACGTTAGTAAAATACAATTAATGGGTAATTTAATAAATAATATAAATAAATAATCCTCTTTAACTTGCGTTCGCAGCTGTATCTCCTCTAGCAGCAACCGCTGCTGAGGCTGCATCAAATCTGCATCCTTATTTGGGTCACGCGGGGTTTTACGGTAGTCTACAAGAAGCACACTAGCTTCGCGTTATAATACCCGCCTCCTTCAACCTAGAGCCTCACATCTGGAGTCATTCCTGCAGGAGTTTGATCCTTCTGACTTGCACTTTTTTTGTAAAGTAGTTTTGTTCATCTCTGTCGCAGTCATGCCGATGTTTGTAGTGAACACAAATGTTGCTAAAGACTCGGTTCCGGCGGAGCTGCTGTCGGAGGCCACGCAGGAGCTCGCCAAAGCCATGGGCAAACCCCAGCAGGTTAGTTACCTACTTTATTTTACTTATTGCCGTATTTTATCGTATGACTTTGCATATTAGTTTAGATGGGATAGAAAACTGTAAGCACTGTTACGAGTTTCAAAACATACACGCTAGCGCAAGTTATCCTCTTAGCTGCAGCTTGAGGTCGACTCGGATTTTCGTTCTTAATTAAATTTAATCTTAAATTAAATATAGACAGATTATGCGTAATAATTAGTCTTGATTTAAGATGCTCAAGTGATTAGAAGGCAAACTAATTTCCGTGAATCAGTTCGATTAACCGAAAGAACCAGTTCAAAAAACGATTCATTGATTCTTTTACGTCATGACGCATTTGCGTTATCTCATTACACAGCACCACGTGCTTGTGTATTTCACTGATTTACTAGAACGTCATGTTGAACTTACTAATTATTCATTCATTTTCATTCAACTTAGTCCCCTTATTCATCAGCCACAGTGGAATGAACCACTTCCACCACCACACCATATCCAGCTTATGTTTTACACAGCGAATCCCCTTCCAGCTGCAACCCAGTACTGGGAAAGACCTATACACACTAATTCACACACACACATGCATTACGGCCAATTAAAATTTTTCAATTTACCTTTGGCACATGTGTTTTACTGTGGAGGAAACCGGAGCACCCAGAGGAAACCCATGCAAACACGGGGAGAACATGCAAACTCCTCACACAAATGCCAACTGGCCCAGTCGGTACTCGAACCAGCGACCTTCTTGCTGTGATGCCACAGTGCTAACTACTGAGCCACTGTGCTGCCTAACATCTAAAATTGTGTTATTTTAATTGCACTGTATTATAAAGTACTGAGCTGTAGTGTTTCTCTGTGTTTGTCTGTGTGACAGTACATCGCCGTACAGGTTGTGCCGGATCAGATGATGATGTTCGGGGGAAAAGGAGACCCGTGTGCGCTCTGCTCGCTCACCAGCATCGGGAAGATCAGCGGCGCGCAGAATAAACAATACTCCAAACTCCTCATGGGTTTACTCAACAAACACCTCGGCGTTTCTGCTGACAGGTACATTCACACTGATGGCCATTTTATTATGCACACATTTTAGCGTACAGTTGTGCGTACAGTTGCAGAATTATTAGCATTATTATAATTATTATTATTTTTTTTATAAAAAAATGTCCCCAATTTCTGTTTAATGGAGAGATTTTTTTTTTACAACACATTTCTAAACAAAACAGTTTTAATATCTCATTTCTTATAGCTTATTTATTTTATCTTTGCCATGATGACAGTAAGATACTAGTATTCAGCTTAAAGTGACATTTAGGGCCCTATCATACACCCGGCGCAGTGTGGCGCAAGGCGTGGCGCATTAGTCTTTTGGTAGTTTCAGCTTGGCGCAAGAGTCGTTTTGAGGCGTTGCGCTACGCTGTTTAAATAGCAAATGCATTAGCGCTCATTTGTGCGCTCATAGGCGTTCTGGTCTAAAAAGGAGGCGTTCTGAGTCGGACCGCTGGCGCGTTGCTATTTTGAGAATCTATAATAGATTTTTCATTAGACTAAAACTAACCCGGTCTAAACTCCGGCGCAGAGTTGCGCCTCGCTTACACACTGCTTAATAGCCTACACACAAGAGAGCAATAGGCAAATATTTTTACATGTGAAAAAATGTAAATATTAAGGATATATATAGGATATAATAATAATAGATATAGGATATAAATATAAAGGATTAAAATATTACAAAACATATTATTTTCTAGCCTACATAAATATGAAAAATCACTGCTTTTATGCCTTCTTCATCTCCGGAGGCTTTTTCAGTTCATTCATAACAATTTGCTTCTGTATAATGTTATTATTATTACCAGTATTATTTATTATATCCATATTTATATTTGTTTTATTATATGGGGCACAGCATGTGTTTTAGGATATAACTCAGGTTTTTGAGCACATTTTGCTATTATTGTTCATTTATTCGTTTGCTGGAAATTAGAACTGAATTTAGAAACAGTTTTGAAACAAATCTTTGCGCTTAACAAACAAAATTATTTATTTATAGACTAATTGATGTCTGTGCGTAAAGGTTTCCCTATTCAAGAGCGAATGTGAAAGTAGATCCATTATCTCTCATTCTCACGCAGTAGATGCTCTGTTTAACAGTTTTCTGTTAATAAACTGTTAACTGTGAACTGTTTGCTTGTGAAATGATCATTTTTTCCACTTAGACTTACTTTGCGTCCTGTAAATAGCGAATGCGCTCTTGGCGCGACGCAGCTGGCTCTTAAAGGGAATGGGAGATGAGACTCTGATTGGTTTATTCTCAAAACACACCTATAACTCATTAAGAAAATAAACTCAACCCTTTTAGACCATGCGCCGCGGGGCAGGGCAGATTTCCCGTCCTTAAATTAGCAAAAACGCGTCCTGACATGCCCTGAAAGCATTTGCGCCCTGCGTTTTGCGCTCTGCGCATGGACCGTCAAAATAGAGCCCTTAAAGACTTAACTGGGTTAATCAGGCAGGTTAGAGTAATTAGGCAAGTCATTGTATAACAGTGGTTTGTTCTGTAGACTATTAAATAAAATATTGCTTAAGGGAGCTAATAATATTGACCTTTAAAATGCTTTTAAAAAAAGTGCTTTTATTCTAGCTGAAATAAAACAAATAAGACTTTCTCCAGAAGAAATTTTATATCAAAAAGATATTGTAGGAAATACTGTGAAAAATTCCTGAATCCCCAGGAAACCCCTTTTCAGCAGGGTATTTTCACACCTCTAGTTTGGAAAAAGTCAGGAAAGGGGGTGTGTCCAGCTCTGTTTAGGTTGGAGTGTCGAGGGAGGGAAAGAGGGAAGATTTTGCATAAAAATGGGAGTTTCCATTTGGGCATGCGCTGATTTTCTCAGAGGCAAAACAACACATAGAAGCAGGGGAGAAAGACAGCGACTGTGTTTACATGGACATCAGTAATCAAATTATTATATTATTATAGGATGAATCTTTTGAAAAAATTCTGAGGTGGACTTGAACTGAAAGTTGGGAGTATCATGGCCCTTTAAACATGATTTGGGGAATATTTAAAAAAAAAAAAAGCAAAATTCACAGGTTGGCGAATCATTCTGACTTCAACATACAGCATATGTACATACAGCATACATACAGCATATTAAATGAAGTTACAGCCCTTATGAAAAAAATACTACACTAATTCTTAAAAGTCTGAACACATCTTGCATATCTTGGTGTACTCTGCAGGTAAGTGAGCTTGACAAACCCCCTGCAAAAAAAATGAAATTAAAATACAAGTTTTGACGTTTATATTTAGTAGCTCAGACTTATTATTATAGTGTATAAGGCCCAATCCTAATTCTATTTTTGTACCTTTACCCCCTTCCCCTCTGCCCATGAAAGTGTAAAGGGGAAGGGGAAGATCTGTCTGTCTGTCCATCCACACATCTGTCCACCTATCTATCTATCTATCTATCTATCTATCTATCTATCTATCTATCTATCTATCTATCTATCTATCTATCTATCTATCTATCTATCTATCTATCTATCTATCTATCTATCTATCTATCTATCTATCTATCTATCTATCTATCTATCTATCTATCTATCTATCTATCTATCTACCTAATCACCCATCCACCCATCCACCCATCCATCTATCTATCTATCTATCTATCTATCTATCTATCTATCTATCTATCTATCTATCTATCTATCTATCTATCTATCTATCTATCTATCTATCTAATCACCCATCCACCCATCCACCCATCCACCCATCCATCTATCTATCTATCTATCTATCTATCTATCTATCTATCTATCTATCTAATCACCCATCCACCCATCTATCTATCTATCTATCTATCTATCTATCTATCTATCTATCTATCTATCTATCTATCTATCTATCTATCTATCTATCTATCTATCTAATCACCCATCCACCCATCTATCTATCTATCTATCTATCTATCTATCTATCTATCTATCTATCTATCTATCTATCTATCTATCTATCTATCTATCTATCTATCTATCTATCTACCTAATCACCCATCCACCCATCCACCCATCTATCTATCTATCTATCTATCTATCTATCTATCTATCTATCTATCTATCTATCTATCTATCTATCTATCTATCTATCTATCTATCTATCTACCTAATCACCCATCCACCCATCTATCTATCTATCTATCTATCTATCTATCTATCTATCTATCTATCTATCTATCTATCTATCTATCTATCTATCTATCTATCTATCTATCTATCTATCTATCTATCTATCTATCTATCTATCTATCTATCTATCTATCTATCTATCTATCTATCTATCTATCTATCTATCTATCTATCTATCTATCTATCTATCTATCTATCTATCTATCTACTCATCTATCTATCTATCTATCTATCTATCTATCTATCTATCTATCTATCTATCTATCTATCTATCTATCTATCTATCTATCTACTCACCTATCTATCTATCTATCTATCTATCTATCTATCTATCTATCTATCTATCTATCTATCTATCTATCTATCTATCTATCTAATCACCCATCCACCCATCTATCTATCTATCTATCTATCTATCTATCTATCTATCTATCTATCTATCTATCTCTGTCGGTCCGTCCCTTCGTCTATCTATTCATCTATTTACAGTTTATTTTTTTCTGTCCATCCATCCATCCATCCATCCATCGGTCTACCTATCTATCCATCCATCCATCCATCCATTCACAGTTTCTATCTGTTCGTCCGCCTGTCTATCTATCCATCTATCTACAGTTTATTTCTATCTATCTGTCTGTATCTGTCTGTGTCTGTCTATGTATCAATCGCTTTACTACCAACAAAAATTTATTTTAAGTCAATATATTTCAAAATGTACCCCTAAGTAATGGGACAGCACTAAAACACCTGCACATGTCATTATATGGCGGTTCATACTGCTGTGGAGACCCCTGATAAATAAGGAACTAAGGCAAAGGAAAATCAATGAATTTATTTGCTATTGGTTGTTTTGCATGTAGCAGATGTGTGTTTAATAAAACTGTCTTGTGTTTTTCTTGTTTTAGGATCTATATAAACTTTGTTGACATGGATCCAGCCAATGTGGCCTGGAACAACAGCACCTTTGGATAAATATGATGGATGTATGGCCTGATATAAGGCTGCGCTTTGTCATTCCAGCTGTTGAGAGTTTAATGCCATCAGTCGATTGAGTCTTAACACACAGCACTTACGGCAGACAGCATCTTGCTTTGACAATAAAGTTTCCTTTAAACTGTAAATGAGATGTGTTGTTTATTTTTATTATGCAAATATTCTGGGATTAAATAGATTTGATATTGTCTAAATAAAATCTAAATAATGAGTATTAACACATTCCTTCTTTTTGTTTTCGGCTTAGTCTCTTTATTAATCTGGGGTCGCCACAGCGGAATGAACCACCAACTTATGCACCATATGTTTTACACAGCGGATGCCCTTCCAGCTGCAACCCATCACTGGGAAACATCCATACATAGTCATTCACACACACACACTGTAGTGACACAAATGACCATTTTGTCACTTGAGGTGTTGTAGGGTTGTTTCTGACGCGTGAGAGCTCAACAAACGAATCATCCTCCAAATACTGCTTATCAGATTTATTTTTTGCACAGACAGTTCTTATGGTTCAATTTCCACTCACAGTCTGATATATAAATGCTCATAAAATCACATTGAATGCCTCAATAAAGCTCTTTCAAACACGGTCAAAAAATGTTGTGCTTCCCTCTAATTACACACCTGTTGTTCTAAGTCTTTGTCTACCTATATACTCCTCCAAACCCCCACTCCACCCAGTGGTCAAAAACAGCATTACAAAACATAATGGCTCTTACACCCCGGCCCCTAATTGTACATGGCAGGTAGACATAACAATTCAACAATGTACATACAAAGAGCCATTAAAGCAACACTATAAACATTGCATTAATCAATTCTGTGTAGGTGTCAAATTTAACAGTCTTTACCATCAGTCCATTATATTTCCATGTTGTCATACAACAGACAAAGTTTTGTCACGGGTCTCTCAAGTACACTGGTTTTAGTTTGTACTCGCACAGAACGAACAAGTCCATTTTTATCTGGAAAAACCTCCAGAATTCGCCCCAATAACCAAGACCCTCGAGGGGCAGACGAGTCCACAATGACAACAATGTCACCAGGAACAAAGTTTCTCCTTTCCTTATTCCATTTCTGCCGATCTTGAAGCAAAGGCAAATATTCATTTGTCCATCTTTTCCAGAATAAGTCACACATATACTGGACCTGTTTCCATCTCCTCTTGCTGTATAATTCAGATTTTTCAAATAATCCAGGTGGTAATACTGGTTTACCTTTCATCTGAAGAAGATGGTTTGGAGTAAGTGGCTCCAAATCATTCGGGTCATCTGACAACTTAGTTATTGGGCGATCATTTAGAATGGCCTCAATTTCACATAGTACAGTATGGAATCCTTCATCATCCAAAATCTGCTGATGTAGGATGGAATTCAAAATTCTTTTGACCATTCTGATTACACGTTCCCAGATTCCACCATAATGCGAACCTCCTGGAGGATTGAAACTCCACTGGACACCTTTCTGGAGCATTGCCCTTTGAATCTTGTTTTGATTCCATGATCTCAGTGATTCCTTTAATTCCTTTTCTGCGGCAACAAAGTTGGTACCATTATCTGATCTTATTTGAGTTACTTGCCCTCGTCTGCAGATAAATCTTCGAAGAGTGTTAATACATGAATCAGTGTCCAATGAGTAGGCGACTTCCAGATGAACTGCTCGACTTGCCATGCAAGTAAAGATGACTCCGTAACGTTTTACAATGGAGCGTCCTCTTTTAACTTCCACAGGACCAAAATAATCCACCCCAACATTCGAAAATGGAGGCAAATCGGGAAGGAGTCGTTCCTTTGGCAAGTCTGCCATCTTCTGCTCACCCACCTTAACTCCAAAACGTCTACAATGGCCACAACTCGATATAATCCTTCTGGCAGCTGCATTACCCTTAATGATCCAATATCTTTTCCTCAGCTCTGAAAGCATATAATTTCTTCCACTGTGACCTAACTGTTGGTGTATATGACGCAAGATGAGCGTGGCAATATGCTGATCCTTAGCCAGAATGATCGGATGCTTTCTTTCTTCCGGCATAGCAGAATTTCTCAATCGTCCTCCTACTCTCAAAATACCGTCTTGATAGACGGGATCCAATTTATACAGCTTGCTGTCTCGGCTTATTTTTGAAACAGGTGAAACTGACAGAGCATCGATTTCCTTTTTAAACTGTTGCCTTTGACTGAATGCAACAATAGCTACTTCAGCTTCATTCACATCCTGCAAACTTAAATTTGGTGTAACCACAGAACCAGTTAGTTTTCGAAGTTCTTTCTCCGTCTTTTTAGAAGTTACTCCAGAAGAGTCTAAAGAGGCTTGAATTTCCTTTCTCTTTTGACTTCGTTGTTTCAGAACTGTCTTTAATTTCAAGAGCCAAGCAACAGCAACCTTCAACTTTGTCCAGTCTGAGAAATGAGTAATCAGCCTATGAGTAGCATTTGACTGTTCACTTACAAGAGTGCTATTTACACATATGTTCCTCTTGACTTCAGGATCATCTGCTTTAAGAGCAGAATCAAATATTTGTGCTGGCCATTCTTCCACTGGTTTCCACAGATAACTTGGTCCATTGATCCATTCTCTGTTTGTTAACAGCTGATCTGCTTTCAGACCTCTGGAGCAACAGTCTGCTGGATTTTGAGTCGTAGGTATGTATCGCCACTGTAATGGTGTTGTAATTTCTCTTATTGCAGAGATCCTGTTGGCGACAAAGGTAAGAAAACGTTTGTCCTCATTTTTTATGTATTTCAACACGGACGTACTATCTGTCCAGAATACTGAATCAACCAATGGAAACTGCATCTCTGCCCTTAACATTTTGTCCACTCGAGCAGCAAGCACAGCAGCTGTCAATTCAAGACGTGGAATAGTTACTGATTTCAAAGGTGCTACTCTAGCTTTACTGAGTAGGAATGTTACGTGAACATCATGTTTTGTCTCCATCCTAAGGTACGTCACAGTGCCATATCCAAGTGTACTTGCGTCAGCAAAATGATGCAACTGAACGTTGGTAAGTTCATCCATTCCTGCTGGTTTTAGGCATCTGTCCATCTTGAAATCTGCCATCTTCTCAAGCTCTTTTAACCATAAAGACCACTGCCTTTGGAGATTTGAGGGTAGCAGATCATCCCATCCACATCTTATCCTACATAACTCTTGCAGGAGAATTTTTGCTGTAAGAGTGAATGGAGCCAAAAATCCTAAAGGATCATAGACAGAGCATACCTTTGACAGGACACCCCGCCTGGTGCAAGGATGATCTTTGCTAGTTATTTTAAAATTGAAAGTGTCGGATTCAACACACCACCACAAACCAAGAGCTCTTTCCATTGGCAACTGGTCCTTGTCCAGATCCATCATTTTTATGCCCTGGGCTCGGTGTTCTTCAGGTACACTTTGTAGCACAATACGGCTATTGCTGATCCATTTTATTAACTGGAAACCTCCTGCTAAGCAGACATCTGTGAGATCCTTGATCATCAAGACGGCCTCTTCCTCAGAAGGTACACTTTTCAAACAATCATCCATGTAGAAGTTTGTGTGAATTGTGTCAATTACCTTTTCAGGAAAGTCATCTTTGTTGTCCTCAGCAGTTCTACGTAAAGCATAGCAAGCACAACTTGGGGACGACACAGCACCAAACAAATGCACTTTCATCCTGTATTCCACAGAGTCCTGATTGATATCACCATCTGGCCACCATAGGAAACGAAGAAAGTCAGTATCTTCTTCTGCAACTTTAACCTGGTGAAACATTGCTTTTACATCAGCCATAAATGCAATAGGCTCTTGTCGAAACCTCACAAGAACTCCCAACAGTGAATTTGTCAGATTAGGACCCTGCAGAAGCTGATCATTCAATGATGTACCTTTAAAGGCAGCTCCACAATCAAACACCACTCTTAATGTTTGCTTCTTGGGGTGATAAACCCCATGGTGAGGGATATACCAAACTTTCCCTTCATCCTGTTTTAATTGATGTAACGGTACTATTTCGGCATAACCGTGTTTAATTACCTCATCCATGAAATCTTTATATTCTTGATGGAAAATCTTGTTTCTTTCAAATTTCCTTTTCAATCCAATTAAGCGCTGTTTAGCCACACAAAGGTTGTTTGGCAACATGGGAATTTCCATCCTAAAAGGAAGATTCAATTTATAATGTCCATCTTGAAACTCAATTGACTTGCTTACCTTTTCCATAAAGGCATGCTCTTCTCTTGACATTTCCTTCTTTTCAACAGAATTCTCATTAAAGTCATGATTGTATTGTTTACCAAGCATATCCTCCAATTTTCTTACAGAAATCCTGTTAACAGTCACGCCTGAACATTTGACCTTATTCCTGCTTCCTTGGAGTGGTCCATTTACAACCCATCCCAATAGGGTTCTAACTGCATAAGGTCCATCTCCATTGCTGTTTATAACCTCCCAGGGCTCCATTACCCTGGAAGCATTTGCTCCAATCAGCAAATCCACATCAGCAGGAATTTGAGGAATCTCAACACCTTTCAGATATGGCCAATTTTCCAAATCCTTTTGAGTGACAATGTTGTCTCTGGATACAGGCATTCTTTCTTGAGTGAAGACTTCTGGAAGACTATAAAAGGTGTCATCAAGAAGGTTAGACACTTCCAATCCAGTCAAAACAGTGCTATTAACAGCCCTTTGATTGCCCATTGTTTTCAAAACAATATTAGTTTCCTTTCCCTTTAATTTCAAACTATGCATTAAGCGTTCTGAACAAAATGTGGCAGAACTGCCAGGATCCAAAAATGCATAAGTTTGAATTACCGTTTGTCCCTTGCTGGATTTGACTTGAACTGGTACAATTGATAATGCACAGTCTCCATCGTCACCGGCCCCTGTTTGCCCACATGTTGTAAGGGCAACATGTGCACTACTTAAAGATGAATGACTTTGTTCTTGAGTGCACACTCTTTCCTTTTGTTGGATATGCAAAATGCTGGGATGCTTTTGACCACACACTGTACAAGTCAAGCGCTTATCACATCTTTTACTTATGTGTCCAAAAGAAAGACAGCCAAAACAAACACCTTTTTCCTTTAGAAAGTTCAATTTGTCTTTATGCAGCTTGTTTTGCATTTGTGTACACTGCTCCAATAAG